CCGCAACACAATATCAGTTGGGTGTTTGGAGTAATTGCTGAATTCGTCCCATTTTTCTTTAATTGAGTGTAATAAACTGTAAGAGAGTTGTTACCTTAAGAGAATCTTGAGATTTCTCTAGTCAATTGATAAATGAGCGATCCATTGCTATCTCTGAATCGATGATTTAACTTCGTCCACAAATCCTTCATGGAATCAACATAGAGAAAAGCTTTAGCCAAGTCTCTTGAAATTGAATTCAAGAGCCATGAAACTACCATATTGTTGGTTCGAATCCATTGCTTATAAGTTGGAGAATTAAGACAAGGATTCATTGACCTTTCAATTAATTTAATCATGTTTGTTCTTAGCACATAAAGCAATTGTAATATACCTGCTCCAAGAATGAACGTTCATTCCATTCAACTATGTGCTAACGAGCGTCAAGCTTGGTTGATCTAAGTTAGCGAGGAAGATAGGGTCATTATTCAGTTCTTGATCGGATCGATCAAGTCTTGTTCTGGACGTTTCATTTTCAATTGTTTCAGTCGTCATTGTATGTGGTGAATCAAAAGAGAACAGAAGATCAATGCTCGTGATCGAGCTCCAATACCATGATGAGATTTCAAGGTCACAGATTCAAGATCGAGAGAGAAATCTCAAAGATGAAGTCAAAAGAGAAATGAGAAAAAATCTATTTGTCATTGATTGTTGCAAAATGATATAGCTAATGTGTTTATATAAATCTAATCTAGAACATTATGGAAAGGTAAAGTAAAACATGTTGAGTTGTCATGTGGGGATAGAAAATAAAAAATAAAATAAATATAAATAATATATTTAAAAACCTACTTTCTGGGAAGTTCAATTCTCATAAAGTAAAGTTCCAGGGAAGTTATTTCCTCGGAAGTACAATATAATTATATTTGGTTGATATATTAACTTTTTGGGAAGTAAAATTGTGTTAATAAAATTTTACATATGAAATGTCAATAATATCATACCATGACTTGAGTATATTAATTAAATAATTCATTAAAAATACCTATGAAACAAAGGCAAAATAGAGTTTTCTAATTTCTAGAACTCAGGAAGTTCACTTCCTTGGATTGAGGGGTAACTTTCCCTACAGTCAAGGAAGTAAGAGTTTCAAGTTTCAGAGAATTTCTATATTTTTGGGAACCAAACAAGATGACATTTCTCACTTTCTAGAAACTTCAAGTTCCCAAATAAAGTTACCTCCAACCAAACGAGGCCTAATTTAAGTCATAAAATTTTTAAATTACAAAATTATTTAAAACCTTATTGATTTATTTTTTTTAGTATAAGTTTTATATTAAAAATTTGCACTTATATTTTTGAGTAAATTTTAGCTGAAAATTTTAATTCAAAATTCTTAAAAATAACTTATTTTGGTTTCCTCGGAAAATATTCTTGAAATTGTCCGTATAGTTGTAATCTCAAAAATTAATTAATATCAAAATTTTTAACTTAGAAGACCATAAGAAACATATAGATTTTTCGTATTTTAAAATTTTAATATTAAATGTAAGAAAAATGTACAAAAAAAATAACAAATTATGGTAGTCATCGATGACCAGTGATAGTGGCTGGCGGTGGTCGTGATTAATAAATTAATAAATATGCATTTATAAGCGTATAAATAAATTTATCAATTTTCAAAAATTGTTTCTCACTTTTAAAAATAGAAAGTTATTTTCTTAAAAAAAAAATTTAATTTTCTCTTTGATTGATTTTCCTGAACATCAAAACATAAAAATTTTAGAAAATATTTGTCAAACAATTTATTTTTTGATAATAAATAGAGTATTAATATTATAAATATATATTCTATAATAAAAAAATGATTACGTTTAACTGCATAAGAATAAGAATTATTTTCACATTTGTTAGAAAGAATAAGAATAAGGTTGTTCGTTGCTTAGCCAAATTGTATAATAGTTTATCAAATATATATTTTTTAATAAAATTGATTCTTTGGTTTGGAGCATTGTTTAATAAAAAGTAAAAGTAATATTTAGTCCCTGAGGTCTTATCAAATTCATTACTTCATCCCTTTATTTTGAAAAATGTATTAATAGAGTCCCAAATTTAGTTTCGTCCAAGTTCCAACTAAGTATCTGTCATAAAGAGGGCTTTTCACTGTTAAGTACGATGGGAAAGCACAAATATGTCCTTTTCCTAGACCTCGCAGCAAATCCACCATTTATTTTTTTATCATTATGTTGTGCTTCTACTTATCCCAAGGTTTTTAAAACAAGACTGAATATTAAACCGGCATCATTACTAAGTCGTAATTGGACCGGATCGACTCGAATCATCGTATGTTGGCTTATAGATCTATACCACAATTCATAAAATTTTAAAAATAAAAAATAAATTTAAACCGGCAATCATTACTAAGTCGTAATGGACCGGATCGACTCGAATCATTCGTATGTTGGCTTATAGATCTTATACCACAATTCATAAAATTTAAAAAATAAAAATAAATATATATATTTTATTTTATTTTAAAATATTATTATTAATTTAAAATTAAAGAAGCGTTATTGATGCATAATCTTATAACAAAATAATAGTAAATTTAATTAAATTGTAAAATTACTTTTTTTTAAATCATTTTCTCATATATATATATATTATATATATATATATAATATTTTTATTAAATTATAAAAAAAAATATACATTGAAATAAACATTAATAAATAATTTTATTATCATTCAATCTCAAATTTAAATTTAATTTAATTTTCAATAAATGATCATCTTATAATCTTACATAAATAAATAATTTTATTATCATTTAGTCTCAAAATTAAATTAAATTAAATTTTAATAATGATCATATTTAATTTAAATTTAAATTTTCTTCTTTTTAAAATATTTTATTTTAATATTGAAAAATGAAAATTATTAAAATATTAAAATTCTTTTAATATTAATAAGATACAATGCACGAAACTAGGTACTTAATTATGACATATTAATTTAACATTAAAATTTCTATTATCACTTTTCAAAGTAATTACCAGTTTTTTTACTAAATAAATAAAAAAATAAGTTAAAAAATAAAAATAGTTTACTTTTCATAAATATTAATATTAGTTATATTATTAGTACTAAAAAAATTAAAAATTTATTAATTAACTAAAATGATAATTATTGTAAAAATTTATTGTATTTATTGAAGCCATAAATGAGTTTTTTTATTTTTTTATTTTAAATTATTATGCATCTTTTTATTGATTTTTAAGCATTTTAAAAAAATTTTACTATTTTAAATTATTTGTATAAGTCTGTAGGTAACTTTATACATTTGCATGTGATTCTAATTATTATAGGGGAACAAATTGGGTAAAAATAAAAGAAAAAAAATTAAAAGGCCAAAAAAGTCAAAATCCGAGTTTAACTGGTTCAATTCAATTTTTTAATTTTTTCAGTTCAAACCGGTTTTATTCAGTTTTTACACCCTATGGGCTCTACATATCAAATTAGATCAGACCGACTTTCAGTTCACGTTGAACCGGTTCAACCGGTAGGTCCAGTGTTAAAAACACTGACTTTTCCATTGACGGATTTAGGGGCCACGGAGGGCCTCCCCCTTAACTAATTTTTTTTGAAAAAAATTATCTCATAAAATTTTGAAATTTTTTATTTTACTCGTTAAAATAGTAAATTTTTCCAATTTACCCTCTTGACTCTTTGAAATTTTTTTTTTTATCTTCACTGAACTTTAATTTCTGGCTCTATCGGTAGGCTTATTTATCAATGGGAGGTTATTGCAAGTAGATTTCTCTATAATTGAAGATAGTTATTGGAAATGTGAATACCTGACCGGGAATGTTGCCGCCGAATTGGTTCATGCTCAAGTGCACATACTCTAGTCGGTTCAGTAACCGATCCACGAGTTTACTGTATCTTTATGAAAGAGAAAAGTATTGAGTCGGAGGGAGAGAAGATGGTGCAAGCAAATTGGAGAGAGCTTTGTGTTGCAAATCGAGTCGAGTTGGTAGTTGGTTGTTGGAAATTTCTTCTCCTCGATCTGTAGTGGCTTAGTGGAGGAGGGCAGAGATAAAATGGTGGTGATGTGAAGGCGAGAGAGAAAGAGGAGACAACTAATCCTCACCTTACCAAAACAAAACAAAAACAATCCAGTCCATAATAAAAGTAAAAAGGGCAAAAGGATATACTCGATTGTAAAGAAAAGAAAAACCTCAAATATCCACTGTTAGGGTCTATTTCTCTGTGAAATAACTTATAAAAAAATATTTTTTATAATTTTCCGTTATTTTAAAATGTTCAGAAAAATAAGTCAACCGAAAATATTTTTTTATTTAAAAGAAAATTAAATCACTTTTTAAGAAAAGTAACTTTTTATTTTTGAGAGAGTAAAATATTTTTCTGACATTAGCAAATCTTATAAATCTATATTTTTTAATTTACTAATCATCACAGTCGCTATCACCGGTTACCATTTACCACCGACTACTACCACCAACCACCATTGACTTTCATAATTTATATATTTGTTTTTTTCATTCTTTTCATATTTAACAATAAAATTTTTATTTTTATTATTAATATTTTTTATAGTATTATGATATAAATACTTTAATATTTTTAACTAATTTTTAATATTACGGCTAAACAATAAAAAATAAGTCATTTAAAAAATATTTTTCAGCAAGTTATTTTCTTGTAAGCTATTTTACGGAAGCAAGTTATTTTCTTTTAAGCTATTTTACGAAAACAAACGGATGCTTAGTTTATAGTTATAGGAGACATGAAATAAATGTTTATCCCACTCAATAGCAGTGAAAGAAAGAAAAAGGGTTTCATAAAACTCAGTTTCCCAATTTCTAAAACAAAAGAAAAAAAATTTAAAAAAAATATAAAAAACTAGAGAAAAAGAAAAATTACTCCATCTTATCTTATTATTTTCTCAGGAACCAAACATAGGCTAAAAAGCAAATCCATCGTGGAAAACACAAGAATGAAGAGAATGTAAGAAAGAACCAGTGACATATCTCATAGAGAAGAACAATGAGTCATACACAGAATTCCAACATATCTTATCTTATTTTATGCAACAAAGCTCGTATGGATCAAATTCTATGAATGGGTAGATAACTACGTACGCTTAGATAAATTTTCTAAAACTACAAGACAGTTATTATATAATATACCACAATTTTTTAAGTTAATTTGTCAAATTGTCAGTATTACGAACAATCTTCATTGATGGAAGCACAATTGCAGCCACCGGATTATTCTCTAGCCCGCCGCTTTCATCAATAATCAATCTAAGATCTTCAATATGCAGTTTCCCATGATGACCACTAACAACAATGGTTGGCTTCTCAGTTAATTCCTGTGAGGCATCAGGAATCAAAGATCTATATTTCAGTTGAATTTCTTTCCATACCAGAAAGACTGCTATAGTATGTAAAAGACATGTAATCCATCACTAGATCTGTTTGAGAAAACATCATTGTTGAAAATGTTGACAAAAGGGCAGTAAAAATTGTTTTGAAGATGAATTGGAATGTTTTAGTCATAAAGGCTCCAAAAAAACTATTTCTTTTCCCAAGAAATATAAAATGGAATGTTTTCAAAAAGCAAGTTTCAAACTCAATACCGAACAGGTTCTGAGTCATTTTCTAGGCAACTAAAGTAAGTATTCAAGCCACAATTCTCAAAAAAAGAACATTGTTTCACCAAGTAGAAGATAATTTAACAGGAAGTAACAGTGCATCACCTTCGGGATATCCCAGACGTTTTTCCTCCCACTAAGAGGCTCTATCTTGGGCACCCTGGTGTCCTTGGCTTTCAAAGATTTTAGCTGTTCCTCAACGTTTTTCCCTTTCTCCAAACCGGCATGAACAGCAATCAATTTACAGTGCTTCATTCCTTCTTCGTTCTCTATACAAACATCTTCCTGTAAAAAAATTGCAAATTATGAACAGCCACTAACCTGAAGCATTTCATCTTAAAAAGAAAAATCTATCTTCATCAACACCATAGCAGACAAGACAATTTTTTTGACAGGATTCTTGAAAAGTAACCATCATTCATCAACAATTAGTATCTTTAGTTCATGTACATGTACAACAGAACATTCAAGGCCCTAAAATTTATCAGTTGTCACTTTGTAGGAACCTCTGACCACAAATACTATTCAGGAGAATGTATTTGAAATTTTTAATTGTTTAGTTTGGTGCATATGTTCAAAACAGAAAGAGTATCTTTAGTTCATTACAGTGTTGACTTAGGTAATGTAAGTCTTGCATTTGCACAAATACTATTCAGGAGAATGTATTTGAAATTTTTAATTGTTTAGTTTGGTGCATATGTTCAAAACAGAAAGAGTATCTTTAGTTCATTACAGTGTTGACTTAGGTAATGTAAGTCTTGCATTTGATCAGCAGAAACATGATGAAAGAAGTACATGGAGGACGCAACAATTATTAGAAAAGTTGATGCAAAACTGAAATGCACGCTTCCATGTATTTTTTTTAATTACATGATTGCCACCTAACTGTTACAGTAATATCTTGAAATTGAAGAGAGCAAGTGGACATTGCTATGGTTCAAATGCAAAATAAAGTCACAGAAAAAAACTTAACAGGGGAAAAAAGAACAGCGACAAAATCTATTTTACTTTTCCATCTTATTTCTGCAGCTGATATGATATCATACTCAATTAACCAGAGTTCTAAAATGACAACATCAAAGAAAACAAGCCTTGCCTCTTCATGGACACTCTCACAAACACTCAAAGAAAAACAAGCCTCTGCCTCTTCATGGAACCAAAAACCATATCAGCCAGAACTTCATATCAGCCAGAAACTTCTTGTGTTCATTTGGAACCGCCTTCATCAAGTCTGTATGGAACAATTACTCAATTCAACAAAATATTTAAACAATAAAATCACAGTACTAAATATTAAACAATGCCATCTCAATTTCAGGAAGGCAAGTGAAAAAGAAAAATCCAACTTTAGAAACGCAATTTAATTGATCATCAAAATAATTAAGAAAGGTAAATTGCAAACACAATTTACTAGCATCAAAATTGATAAACTCATCTCTAAATCAATACCTTCAACACCCCAAATGAGATAATAAAAGCACTAAAAAGTGGAAACTACAACTCCAAATACAAGAACCCAATTCACATAAAAAGCAAATACAATTACTAAGTAATTGTGGAAGTCGCATTTGACATTAAGCAACAGAAATGATAACACAATGTAATCATCATTACAATCTTAGTAATTTCTTTTCTTTTCCGGAAAAGAATAACCAAGAACGAAATGCGGATATAATAACTAAAGGACTTAATGTACCATAATATATCAACAAAGAAAAGCAGTCACATACCAGCAGATCCATGAGGGACTCCATAGGACTCAAAAGTGGGTGCAGCATCATAAATAGAGCCCTTGTATTCAATCCCTTTAGCATCAAATCGAACCTTAACAGACCCAGCCCATCTCCTCCCTTGCAAATACATGTTTTCATACCCATCTCCTTTATACCATCCTTCTCTTTCCTCATTCGATTCGTACTCCTTCCATCCCTCCTTAAACGACACGCCGTTTGCGGGTTCTGGCAAAACCCCAACAAAAGCAGCAAAAGCAAGGTCGTGATTACCAGAGAGAAACACATGCTTTTGATTTGGATAAGCTGAGGGTAAATTTATCAAGAAATCTATGACTTTCTTGGTATCTGGACCACGGTCGCAGTAATCGCCTAAAAAAATTATAGTGGCAGAGCTAAATTCTTGTGGGCTGATTACGGATTGAAGATTGGACCAGAGATTTTGGAGCTTCACAAAGTAGCCATGTATATCGCCTACGCAAATGACCACTCTTGGTTTGACGGTGTCGCCCGTGGTGGTGGTGGGGTAGTTCGGACTGGCCATTTTTTAAGCTTTTTTAATTTTTAGTTTTCTGCTGAAAAAGATGACCGGCTGATAACTCAAAAATTTTATTTTGTTGTTGTTAGACATGGGCTAACCAGCTAATTTCTTTTTTATGTTCATCTGGGCTTAATTTTACACTGCAGTTAAAATGCCTTTTATTTAAAAAACCATTTTAAATATTACTGAAAAATGATTTTAGAATGTTGTTTTATTAATTTATAATTTTTATAAAATTATTTATAAAAAATAGTTTCTTATGATCTTTAATAATATTTTCAATAAAATTTTTTTAATGTTTGTTCGTTAGACCCAATGGACGCTAAACACACAGCTATTTCTACTTTCTCTACTGTTCATGCTGGGCTGTAACTTCTACACCTCGCCAACACACCGTTTCAACACACCTCGCGCCCCACTTCACATCTATTTAACACACGGAAAAACCCCACCACTCCATATTCACACATATTACACTCTAGAAAAAAACTCTCTGCATTTCAAACGAATGTCATCTGTCAACTTCATCTACACAATTTTTACTACAAAATAACTCTTTAGTAAAAACATTATTGGTAACTACAGACCAACATCAACGCACATTCTTCGACACTCGATCCCCTTACACCAGAACTAATTTTCAATAACAACTTTACTCCCCTCTCTCAAATAGCAGCTTACAGTTCAAAAACACAATCTGCAATTACACATTGTCTGGGACAAGGGCCCCAACGGCACGCGGAACAAACACAACGAACACACACAAAGGCTGAGGGCCTTACTTGACTCCCTGGTCACAACGAGTAAATCCTTAAAACTTTCAAAACGGGCCAACGAACTTTCCATTTTCATTACAATGTCATAAAATTCTACTTGAATTACTAACTTACCTTCCTTTCACGCCGCACCCAACGATCTTATTTAATTAAATGTTCAAAAAACTCTTTTGCAATATCAAAGTTTAATTGCCACACCGTAAATGGACCTTATAAGTATGATTTTTTCTAACTGACAGCCTCCCATCACAAAACACTTTAAATAGCTGTAGGTTTTACACTTCATCTGCAACAAATCCAATTTGTCAAGTGAATCTCACACACCGATTAACCTATATACAATGCTCTCCCATAAATTTGTATCGTGCAACTTGCCCTGATCCTTCCCACCGAAGGAACACCTACATCCGAATTACACCTAACTTAATCTTCCTCCCAGGTTACAAACAACACTCCGCCCAACCCCAGCACTGAATACACAGTTAAAACCCAATGGAGAACTGGAATCATATACAATGGTAAGGAGACGCAATTACACGTCAACTCACAATGTAAATTTTACAATTATAACTTTTACCAAGTGGATAATGTAACATTTGGACTGATTAGTGGAGAATGACAACCGAACAACGAACCAGCTAATTGTTGAGTAGACGGTAGACATGGCAAAAAATAAGCAAAATATAAATTAACATACAAAAAAAAAAAAAAGACCGAGAAAAGACAAAGAGGCAAGAAATGGTTCAACTGATCGATTATTCTCCCCTGGTGACCCCAACGTCAGGAACCCTTCGCATGCACCTATCGCACGACCAAAAAGAAGGGCAAGATGACAAACACACCAGGCACAGCAGATGGCGCCGGCGAGCGACAGCAACAAACTGGAAGGGCAAATTATGATCAACCACAATCCCCATGCTATTGTCCTCATAGATACACACGCAAACATCTTATCACAATAGGTCACACCGCGTTTCACCCAACTCCACGGGTCACCCTGAAGCATCCAAACACTTCTTGTTCACCTTACTTGAGATGCACACAGCCCATAGATCCTCGTCCATGCCACACACGCAAAAAAAAAAAAAAAAAGAAAAAGAAAGAGGAAGAATGGTTCAACTGGTTATCTCCTCTGGAAGTTCAGGAACCTGATGCCATATGCAAAGACAAAGAAGAAGATGAAAACCCAGGCAAGATGGGCGACAGCAACAACTGGAAGGAAATTATGATCAAATCCCATGTTTTCTTTAAGAAACATCTTCAATGGTACTTTACCAACTCCAGGTACCTGAAGATCAACATTCTTGTCACCTACTTGAGATGCCACAAGGCCATAGATTGTCCATGCCACAGGTGAAAGCCAGTAGTACCACCTCCACCATATTGGAATTTGCTGCAAGAAATTTCCAAATGTGAGTTTCATGTCTTTACTGGACTAAGATTAGAAAAAACAAACATGTTGTGGAATAAGAACTTGAAAAAAATATAGAGGAAAAATAAAACATCCTTGGAGTTCTGCAACTTGTTATGTTCTATTTTTTATTGCTTCACACTATGACAGTAAGCTCACAAAACTTGTATTTTTTTTCTCACATTGGAGAGATTTTCACAGCAAAATATGTGAAATTTGTGACCGGTAGTTTAAAATTATTGTTAAAAAATTATTCTAGTTTTTCACAAGAGAAATTATGAAACTCCATAAAAGGAAAAAACTTTTTTGTGTGGATAACCTTTGAAGTTCTCCGTATGAAGCAAAACTTTTAGTAACTATTGAACTACTGCAACAAATTTCTCATGAATTTTCCATCCAAAATATCCTCAATGTACAGAAATAAAAGTGAAAAAGATGAGTTTAGAGACTGCAAAAGGCAATGATTAAATGTGCTATTGAGCTTAAGCTTACTTACAGATCTGGGAACGAGGAAACCAGAGAACAAGTTCCAAAAGGATAGGAAGAAGGACATGACAATGGCTGCAATTTGGTGGCCAGGAGTCAATGCAACAAGCATCATCCCATATAATGTGAAGTATATGAAGCTCGTAATTATGAAGTACAAGAACCATAAGAACTTTCCAGTGTCCCACTCGAAGCCAATCATGCTGTAAAGGACAAGAGTGTAGCAAATAGATTGAACTGTAACATAAATTGCCTCTATTGCCACCTGCAGAAATAGGAGTTTTTTAATTATTCAAATGTTCAATAGTTAATTATTTTGTATGTTTCAATTATGGCATGCTTGTTTATACAATTATGTGAACAAGCCAGCAAAAACATTTTCAATATGAACTCTTTTTATGAACTATATTTCTGACAATTTTACCTGAGCAAATGCGTAAGGCAGTGGGGAATACATTCCAGCTGCTTTTTCACGATAGAAAACTGTTCTTTCAATCGCAACAATGGGTTGCACAGAAGAAGTATTTGTTGCACCAAGGAAAAATATTGCAGAATACATGGCTCCAAGAAGATTCAGTAGATCTTGCTGTTTACCTCTGTTAACAGAAAATATTTAAACCACTCAGTGCAAATGCAGAATTATCTAGCAGGAAAAGAATTATATATAGCTCCAAAATATGTGCAGCTTTCATGACATTCTTGTACGGGGAAATCATTTTCAAAATATGTAGGGAATGAATATTCTGAAATTAGAGAGAATTTGAGGCTTACGTCTTTTGCCCTGTGTTCCAAAAGATAAGACCGAACAGAACTCCAATGATTAATGTCAGGAAGAAACGAATGGCATTATACTGAGGATTTCTCCAGTAAGACCGTTGTTGTTTCCAAAAGCATGCCTTGCATTGAACAAGGAAAGATTGTGAGTATTTGGATGGGAAGTAGAGATCCTTAGTGCCTGCAGCTGGAGTGCTAAGCTCTTTGATAAGTTCTTGATTCCTCCTGGAAGTATTTCAGGAATAGAGAATAAGTAAATGGAACTCAACTAAACTTAACTTTTTTGGGCATTTACTCTCAAAAGCATGGTGTTATATTCAGACTTACTGATAGAGTGAAGAGTTCATATAAATTTGTGCAAAATCAACATTTAGTTGTGCCTCCATTGAAGAAGTACTGATATCAAGCATCCATGTAGCAGGGTTGTATCCATCCTTGATTTTGGGAACCCCGGGGACAGCCTGTTTTAAGTTATAAATACCAGCCAACAGTGAAAATCTTTGACAGATAACTACTAGTCTTATGAGCATCGGTTTCAAATTCAGGAATTCATCAAGAATCCACAAATGAGGAGGTGATGATTACTCATAGAGAAATGATTCATCACAATTAATAATTCCATTCCTTGATGCTAACCAAAAACTAAAGGTGAAAGCACAAGAAGTAAAAAGTTCTAACCTCAAAATATTCTATAAGCTTGTGAGAATGGTGACCAAGGGGTCCAGCATAAATGACCTGACCACCTATTTTCATCAAAAATAGCTGCAAGAAACAAAACATAAATATACACGAAAACATAAAAATATGAAAATAAAGAAAATCTCAGAAGTTTGATTTTATAATATACCTCATCAAAAGCCTCAAATATATCTATGCTTGGCTGGTGAATTGTGCATACAACAGTTCTACCTGTATCCACGGTATTTCTCACAGTACGCATAACAATAGCAGCAGCTCTGGCATCAAGGCCAGAAGTTGGCTCATCCATGAAAATGATGGAGGGATTAGCAACTAACTCTACAGCTATTGTCAACCTTTTTCTTTGTTCTGTCGATAGACCATCTAGTCCTGGAAGTCCAACTAGGGCATATCTTATTGGATTTAGCTCAACCAATTCCATAACTTCTTCAACGAACATCTATATAAATCATATTGGAACCAGTAAATATCAATAAGGGAGAAAAAGAGAGTTTTTTTTCCCTGAAGAAAACCTTTAAGATTTTAGAATTGTTGAGTACATGCCTGCCTTGTTTTTGAATCTACATCTTTAGAAAGACGGAGCCAAGCAGAATAGAGGAGAGATTCGTGAACAGTAACATGTGGTGAGTGAATGTCATTCTGTTCACAATAACCACTGACACGAGCAAATGTTGCTTGGTTCTTTGGGAAACCAGAGACGCTAATATTTCCTTCTATGTATCCACTGGTCTTTCTTCCAGCTAGGACATCCATCAATGTAGTCTTCCCAGCACCACTTACACCTACCAGTGCTGTTAATATCCCTGGTCTAAAAGAACCGCTAACATCTCGTAGCAGTTGAAGATGCTTTTCTTGAATTCCTTCACGCTTCATTTGCTGTCGTAGAAAACAAATCTTAAATCTCAATGTTTGCTCATAAGAATTCGAAACCTTTTAGCAGATAATGTAAAATAAACTTTGATTTGTTTTGCAATAAATATCTAAATCAAAAAAAAAAAAAAAAAACTATTCATTAAGAAAAAGAAAATATTTTGGATTAAAAAAATTATTATGTAAACGTCAGAGAAAAAGGAGCGACTCACAGCTGGCATATCCACATAGTAGTTCACATGGTTGAATGCAAGTGAGAGGGGTTGGAAGGGCAAAACCATTCCTTTTCTACTTGGTGCAGCAACAGTTTCTGAAGAATTTCTAACTACCTTATCTGTATCTGCAATTGTTCATAAAAAAAATTTCAGGCATATCCATAGATTACTTTCTAATTTTAACATGTGTGCTTGTTCATTGGAATCTGCTAATTAATAATTTTAAGATTTACTTCACATATACACCAACATGTTTATATCTTTTCCTTCTTTCATTATGTTCTAAAGAAAGTTTATAAGTAGGATGTCTGCTTGTTTGCTTATTCATTTTGCATAGTCTTATTCAAGCCAAAGATAATGGACATATGGCTAGAAAAATTTGATTATAACTCATCGATGCCTACACTCTGTTATAACTTATACCAAGTACCCATATATTAAGCCTTATTGAATCATGCAGCAAAGTGTGGATAAACTCAATTAGAAAAGCTAGCTGGAGCTTTCCACAAAATAAAAGAAGTTTAGGTACAGACTGGAACCTTTTTTTTTCAATTTTCCAGAGTGTGACTTTTCCTTCTCATCTTCATCCGCGATGACAGCTTTTGAATCACCCAAAGCTGAAATCAGATTGAATTTTCAATTAAAAGCTTTCTCAACCTTTAACCATTCCCACACACACACACACAATGTTGAATAGAGTAGGCATGAAATGAGGTGACTTACGATTCAAGTAAGTCAATGCGAGAATAAAACAAATGTTGAATAGAAGAGAAAATGCAATTAGTGCTCCAATACAAATCCAAAACCAATACTCCTTGACAAAAAAGCCTCTGGATTTCAAAAGGACTTCTCCGACTGTACGTGCATCTATCCTGGGGTCTGGATTAGGCTGTGCATTAGCCAATGGTTAGCAGGATATAATAATAGGAATAACTTATTAGTCACCTAATTAGAATTTATATAGAATAATAGAATGAGAATCTATATCGAAGACAGCAAGTATAAAGTAGTCTTACTGCGCTCCATCTTTGATCTAGGAATTCGTTCATGACAACAGCATTCTGTCCATACATCATAGGAGAAGCATAGTAGCCCCAAAGCATCCAGGGGGCAATGTCATCTGTAGTAATAATGAAAAGAGTGATACTAAGCAATGTATTTATAAAGAATCTGAAGGATCCTTATCCAATACTAGGTATTTGATTTCAGATTTTTAAGCTAGTGCCTTGTTTAACTACAAAATTGAATAGCGAGGAACAGAAGCAATGTGCCTTGTTTAACTACTTACTTTTGGCAACAATGAATCCTCCAAGCACGAAAACCAGAAGCAATGTGAAGGTACCAAGTGTGTTTGCAACAACTTGAGTTCTTCCAAGAGCAGCAATAAAACGAAAGAGGGACAGAGCCATCTGATGTATACAAAAAAATGCCAGAAACTGTCTGAAAAACCTGAAAAGAAATGAAGCTAAATGTTTTGTGCCAGAAGTTACACTGATAGTCATAGACTCATCAACTTTCAGTTATCTTTTAATCAAGAATACTAAAATATAACTCAAGATTCCAACATCTAATCAAGTTGCCTATATTGTAACCGCAAATTTTTTTTTTTTTTTTTTAAAAAATTAAGACCATTTACCTGCTAGCAGAAGGAGCAAATCCAATTGTGTAGTATGTCAGAAGAATCCATATCCCTGACTCCAGGAATGATATCGGAATCCTAAGAACCCATATAGGTAAGCTAAAAGCCCACGCAGGGAAGAACAACATATCTCTCTGTTTGAAGAAGACAGGAAGCCTAAAAACTGTCATTGCAAGTTCTGCCATTCCATTAAACATCACATTAATTAGACTGAAAAACAATGCTCCAAAGAATTTTTGTCCATCTACAACCGTCCCCGCTTTCATTTGTGACCTCCAGAACACCGTGAAAGCAATTACAGACATGATTGTTATCTGTGTTGTCTTGAATATATATATAAAGGAGTTTCGCTTCATTAGCAACACCTCTCTTGAGAAGCATGCCTTGAAAAGTTCCCAATTTGAAATGCCATACCTGTCTCTCACCAATGCAGCAGGGTGCATTTTTGATTTATCATAAGGAACACTAAGATCTGATGCAAGCTGTTGCCCAATGTGAAAAGAGCTAAAGCCTTGCACAAATTCAGGAACTGAGGTATATTTGTAGGCTTCATCCTTGTTGTACCAATATTGTTCTTGGTCCTTCTTTGAAGTTACTTCTTGCAGAAAATCAGCAATTCCTTTTCTTTCTGGACATTTGAAACCCATATGTTCAAAGTACTCGAGGACTTTTTCTCGTGGACCTTGATACACAATCTGACCTTCTGAAAGTAGGATAATGTCATCAAATAGTTCAAATGTCTCCGGCGCTGGCTGAAGGAGAGAAATGATCATGGTTACATCCATAATATGAACCATTTGCCTCATGAACTGACATATCTGAAAAGTGGTGGAGCTGTCCAATCCTGTCGATATTTCATCCATTAAAAGAACCTTTGCGGGCCCCACTAGCATTTCTCCTGTATTCAGTATAGGTAGCAACTATTAGATTGGTTTTTCTAGCTGTCAAAACTTCTGAAACTGCTGGTAAGAAGAAATGTTATTTTCCATGTCTGATAAAACAAACCAGTGGTTACACGCTTCTTCTGTCCTCCAGAAATACCCCTACGCATATCATCACCAACCATAGTATCCGCGCAAATGTCCAATCCAAGTATCTATTGAAGATTGAAGAAAAATAAGTCCTTCAAGTTCAAATAAAGGGGATAAGATAAGAACAAGAGACAGATGCAGAAACCATACCTTTATAACATAATCTGTAACCAAACTAGTTTTTTGACCTGACATTGCTGTGGCTTTCATGAATGCATCAAGCATAGGATCTGGCTTAATTCCTGCTTCCTTCTCGCGTCTTGAAAGTTCTGCTAGCATTTCATATCTTGTGCCCACCCCTAAGCAGCGTCCAGAGAAATCAAATGTCTCTCTTACTGTCATCTCTCCATGATGAAGATCATGTTGACTGATATAAGCACAAGTTCTTTGAGGAATAAACTCATGTAGTTCATGACCACAGTAAGTGATTTTTCCAGTTTTCTGTTAATAAATTATCTGAGATTAAATCATTTACCATGTAAATAAAAGGATCGAGTTACCAAATAGAGATATACCCTTAGATCCTGATCAAGTTTCCCTGCAAGTGCAAGCAAAAATGTCGTTTTCCCTGAAGCTGGTGGACCAAGTAGCAGTGTCATCCTGAAATTACCATATTGAGCAATAATTAATTCAAAGAATATGGTAAATTTAAAAAAAAAAATCCAAACAAACAAACAAACAAAATTAAGTGTCTGTTACATCAAATCAAAAAGAAAAATCAACTTTTTTTTTTCTATCAATTATTAGATAAACATGATAAACATTCAATAATGGTAATTTATTCAAATATAAACCGAAAATATCCAAGATACCTAGATGGTCTAAAAATTCCACTGATATTTTGAAGAATCTGGATTTTTCTTTTCTTTGATGGCGCAAGCCGAACCAACCCAAGAAGAATCTATTGATAAATAAACAGAATAAATTGCTGTCAGAACATATCAACATGCATCCAAACCAAAATCTTAATTTTTCTAACTTTTTTTTTTTTTGAAATTCCTCCAATTCTAATATTCTAATTACCAAACAAACGATTTAAGAGAAAACAAAAATGAATTAAGCACCTCTATTGAGTTTAAAGTAGCATTAATCAGAGTAGGAAGAGCTCTGCTTCCTACATGCACATATCCTTCCACCGATAAATTCTCGTACCTGACTTCAATCTTTGGAATCTCAATTCCCACTCTGAAACAACCATTAAAGAAAATTAAGAAAGAAAAAAAAATCAGAATTACTCAAATTCACAGTTCTAAAACTTTTTTTTTTTTAGAAAAAAAATATTAAAACGTACCTATCAGTTCTCTCTCTGAGTCTCTTAAGAAACTCCTCATTATCCTCTTGAACATCCTTGAGTATACTGTCCATCAACTTTTTCTTATCCTGCATTCCAAGCTTCCTTACATCGACTTCACCCTGCACACTTTTACCATCAACAATCTGATTCAGCATCCCCTTCCTCATCCTATCATACGTCGGTAACCGCTGGATTGCGGCCCACAGGAGATCCTCCTCATCCTGTTCCCGCCTTTCACTTCGGTCAAAAACCTCCGGCGGAGCAAAACTCAGTTGGCTTGCAGACGCAAAGCTCCGCCTACTTCCTGTCCTAGCCAAATCATCTCCGACTATAGCCGACGCCATTTCCGGTGGTTCAGCCGAAACTTTACGAAGGAATCTGGAAAGCCAAAGCTAATTACATATCCAGTGAGTATTGTAGTCGGTATAGGAGAGAAATTTGAGTTGTGAACGTGGAAAAGATTGCGCGACTGATAATTTAAAAGTTGTAATTTATAAGATTCATGGAGGAGAAAATGTAGCCAGATTAAGATTTCACAGTAAAAATGCGGTAGTTAACCGTGGTAACAAATATTGCACAGCTTTTAACAGTCAATAGCGGAACTATAAGTAACTGAATTCCTGGCGTCTAGTCACTTACGGAACTTTAGGGCCAATCGCTACTAGTTGAATACGGAGAGAGTACCGGAATCTAGACTAGAAAAGCAATTCTGTAAATTTATATTCTTGAAGTCTACCGAATAGCTCTTATCTAATATAAATTATCTAGAAATTAGGTGAATAAATTTATAAAAATATATTATGAATATTAATAAAATTAGTAAATAATAATATATTTTTAAATATTTAAATTTTTTGATATACTAAAATTAATTTATTAAAATAATTAATTCTACATAATCTTAATTACATAAATTCTTTCATAAATTCTTTTATCCAATGTCACATTGATTAGTATAGTTTCTATTAGAGGTCTCAAATTCAATTTTTTATATTATAACATCTAATTCTTTCTCTTTATAGTGGATTGTTTTGTCCGAAATGAATTTTATAATTGATTATATTGTCGTACCGCCCTGAATAGGCATTGTAAAGGATTATACTATCCTGCGTAAGAAGAAGAAAAAGAATACAATACGGAACCACTTATTGCACGGCCCCACTTTCTCTCTCCTTTCGGGCTTCTAGAATGTCAATCGAGATAAGCAATTATGCTAACTAACTTATGTCAGGTCTTTATAAGCCTAAAAAGAACACAATGTTACAATTACAATTCCACCATCCTTTTTTTTTTTTTTTTTTTTTTATTTTATAAAAATTTAAAATTTTTTGATTATACATTAAAATTAATTTATATAAATATTAATTTCTAACATTAATCTAATTACCCATTAGAAATTCTTTCATAAATTAACTTTTAATCCAAAGTTCACATTGATTAGTATAGTTTCTATTCAGAGGTCTCAAAATTCAATTTTATTATTTTATAAAAAATCTAATTCTTTCTCTTTATAAGTGGATTTGTTTTTGTCCGAAATGAATTTATAATTGATTATATGTCGTAAACCGGCCCTGAATAGGCATTGATAAAAAGGGATTATACTATCCTGCGTAAGAAAGAAGAAAAAAGAATACAAATACGGGGAAACCAACTGTATTTGCCACGGCCCCAACTTTCTCTCTCCTTTCGGGCTTCTAGAATGTCAATCGAAAGATAAGCAAATTATGCTAAAACTAACTTATTGTCAAGGGTCGTTTATAAGCCTAAAAAATAAGGAAAACCCACCAATGTTACAATTAACCAAATTCCCACCATCCTTTTGTTTTTTTTTTTTTTTGACCAGAAATAAAAACCTTAAAATGGGAAAATTTTTTGTGGAATTAATTGCAAAAAACTTATAATTGAAATAGGATGTAACTGTAAAAAAAAAAAAAAAAAATGTGTGAAAGTTCGGGCTAATTTGTTCACCCTAAGAAAAGAAAAAAAAAAAATCAATTTATAGGTTTTATTTTTTTTAAAGGCAATTAATTGGAAAGAAGCTGTAAAAAAAGCTTTAGAAATTTGCCGATATAGCCCCTCCTTTAAGTAAAAAAAAAAAAAACATAATACTAGTAATTCTGCGGTGGCCTCTTTTAAAAAAAGTTTGTGTTCGGGTAACAACTTTCAGGTAGCCTTTTAGCATTTTGAGTGGTTAAAATGCTAAAACGCAATTTAAAAAATTTATTTTGTAAAACATAAATGTTTGAATTAGCGTTTTAATTATTGTAGTAACGTTTTGTGTGGAAAAAGTTAACTCATATAATTGCTATTAAAAATATATATGTTAGTGGGTTTTTTGAAAAGTTAATTCTCTAAACAAATTTTATTCAAAGCGTTATTTACCGAAACAACTATAAAGAAAATAACGTCAAAAAAGCTAAAAAAATTATTTTAAATCTATTGCGAACAAACAAAACTTTTAGCGTTTTATGAAAAAGCGGCTAACTCCAAAATAACAAAAAACAAACTAACTAAAATGCTATTAAAATAAACAGCAACTACAAAAATAGGTTTAATTTTGATTTTCAAAACAGATTTCAAAAATTTTAAATTTTTTTAAAAATTGAATTTAACTTTTTGTAAAAGGTCCAATTTCCATTAATCAAAATAAATCGTGGAGTTCTATTAAAACCTGCCGCAATTAAGAAAAAAATAAGAGGATTAAAAGTAAAAAAATAAGATCGTTAAGATATGCTTTTCCATTTCCTTAGAGAACTTGTTTTTTTTTTTTTTTTTTTTTTCTTTTTTTCCCCTCCTCATCTATGATTGCTTCGATTAAGAATCCCATTTAGGGCTGAATAAACATAAAAAATGCATCGTTAAAAACTTTATAAATTTAAATTTTATAATATCTTAAAATTTTGCCGGATGACTTATTTATGCACTTGGAATTTTATAAATTTTAATAATAAATAACAAACCAACCCTTTTGACCACTAATTCGATTAAATTTTAGAATTTTAGCTTTTATCTGTAATTATATTGACTTAAAACATTATAGTTAAGGCCATATAATCTTGGAACAATTATTTTCAGTTAATTTTAATTTTTTAATGAAGTGTTTAATTGAAATATCAAAATTTTATAAGTTCAAGTGTTCAATAAAAAATAATTTTAAAAAAAATTGGAAATGCCAGTGTTTATTAGTTATAGTAGTATAAGTTGGAAAATGTTTTGATGAGTCAAAAATGAAAGGTTGAGGGTGCCACAAAATTAAAAAAACAAAAATTGAGGGTGAATTTAGTTAATTTCTTGTCAAATTGCCCAGCAGTTTCAAAAACAAAAAATTAAGGCCAATTACTTGCTTTCTTTTCTGTTAAATTCAGAAATGGAGAAAGGAATATTTTATATTTGATTAAGTTTTTTTCCATGGAAGTATCGTGGCTTATTAAATAGGCCAATTACAAAGGTGACAGGCAGCTACAAATTAGCGAGGATTTATATTCAAAAATCAAAAATCCACAAGGGACTTAGCAGAAATTCAAAGGGAAATAAACAAATTACAAAAAATTAGAAAAAAATATTTACAGCATTTGAAACAAGTGTATTGGTGATCATTGAGAGGCTGACTAGTTCTTCAAATATCTTAACAGCCCCTTCTCAAGCTTGAAGACGGTACAAGACATAAGTCGAAAAAGCTTGTCTTGATTACGGTTAGGAAACAAAGAAAGAAACTCAAATGGTTTTGTCATTAATGTCTTTGCAATGTTGAATCTTGAATCAGAACAAATAAACTTGACTTTGAAACCCGTTTTCTGTTGAAAACCAGATTCTCTTAACAAAGTGAAAATCGAGGTTCCGCAAATGTTGCTTGGTTCGAAGCATGAAAAATACCGGATTAGAAGTCAAAGTAGATTGCCAACCGAATTGTTTATCGCACCATAGAGTTTGCCGGACGAAAAAACCCATGATATCCAAGTTTCAGAAAAAATAAAGGATAAAAGCCAACATAATTTCAGAAGTGGCATGCGCCAATGGAACGGGTACTCCTTTCAGTTGAAGGAGGCGAGCAACAGTAGGCAGTAGCTTTCTTTCGAAGGGAACCAGTGAAAAATTAAATAGTTTCCCCATGGTAAATGCCATATTTCAAAAAGTGGGATTCCGGTTCATCCGGGGCAGGGCCAGGCCCAATCACTATTGTAAAACATATTGTAGGTGGGAAAATTTTATGGTTGATGAGTGAGAAAAAAGAAAAAGAACCCAATTTAAGGCAAGTTAACCCTTGAAAGATAACGCAAAAAAAAGCAACGTTTAGTTAGTAAGCCCAATGGAGTTTGAGTCGGCTGATGCATTAAAAATTTGGAGGCAAGGGCTTTGTTGACTGGAAGGAGATGTCTAAAGCCTAGTAAAGTGTCACAATTATTGAAAGGGAACCAAACAAGTGTCGAAAAACTTTCTTCTTCCATTCCCAAACCCATAGTTCACCATTCATGTTTTATTTTCGATAATTTGGGATTGAATTTAGAAGCATGAAGGGCCGAGGTAGCTTGGCTGTCAAAACATTTATTTACAAAAACCTTTCTTGCAGTAAGAACATATATATTGTG